GACAAGGCAGAGTCACCCCTGCTTAACTTTCTCTTCTATGTCTTCTTCCTCACTGTCGCTTCATAATGAAAGATATCTCTAAATAGAAAAACTTGCTTGGGTGCCATGGGCGTCTGGATTTTAGTGCCTTTTCGACCCATCTTCTTTTCCAACAGTTCTTTAAGCAAAGGCAGACTAGTCTCATAAAGGTAGTCGATGATCTCTACAGAAAAGAAATTTAATTTTGAAATTATTTGCCTGTTCAAAGTCTCTTATCAACATCAAAGGACACAGGACACTGCTAATGACAATGCACTACTCTTACTATTACTGCATGTGAGGTCCTCTTCTAACTGGTTTACTCACATTACATATTCAATCTTTGCAAAAGTCTTATGACACAGGCATTATTTTAGCCCATTCTTCAAACGTGAAAACCGAGGTGTGAAGGCATAAGAAACATGGCCAAGGTCATGGAGTTAATAAGGGTTCAACCCAGGCAGTGATGTATTCATCACACGGCCCAGCATATGGTATCATCCAAACCAGTGGTTCCAGGCAAAATGCTGGTGCTGGGCAGACCATGTGAGAGTCCACTCACCTGCAAGCTCATTAGAGAAAATGCAGCCGGGCTCGGTGGCTCAGCCTGTAATCCCGCGCCTTTGGGAAGCTGAGGTGAGTGGATTGCCTGAGCCCGTGGGTTCGAGACCCGCCTGGGTAGTGAGACCTCATCTCTACAATACATCAAAAAAAGAATCAACCGTACGTGGTGGCGCACACCTGTAATTCTGGTTACTCGGAAGGCTGAGGCGGAAGGATCTCCGGAGCCCAGCAGTCGAGGCTGCGGTGGCCGGGAGTGGCCACTACACTCCAGTCTGGGCGACAGAGTGAGACTCCGACTCAAAAAAAATTAAAAAAAAAGAAAATGCAATCTCTTGACGTGGTCTGGAGATTAGGATTCAGTAGTTCTGGGATGGGGCCCAGGAATCTGTAATTTTTTTCTTTTTGAGTCAGGGTCTCACTCTCACTCTGTTGATCAGGCTGGAGTGCAGGGCACACTCCAGGTTCACCAGGGCTCAAGTGATCCTCCCACCTCAGCCTCCTGGTGGGCTGAGACTACAGGCACGCACCACCACTCCCAAAAAAATTTTTGATTTTTTTATAGAGATGATGTTGCCCAGACTGTTCTTGAATGCCTGGGCTCCAGCAATTCTCCCACCTTGGCCTCCCAAAGTGCTGAGATTACAGGCATGAGCCACCATGCTTGGCTGGAATCTGTATTTTTAACAAGTTCCCCACATGGCTCTGATGATTTGAGTTTGGGACTTATATATCTAAACCACCCACAAATGGCTACAAAGATAAAACCGGGCACCTTCTATTCTTTCTAGAACAATGTGTGCATACATGTGAGTACACATGTCACGTGAGTACATGCATGTGGTTTGCACGCAGGCATGTGTGTGTGAGCGTGTGTGTGAACATATGTGACAGTAATACCAGCAGCACTCAGTTATTACTCAGTCACAAAGGGCCAAGAACAGTGGTGATGACATTTTGTACTTTTATTTCATCAAGCACTTCTGAAGGTCCTGTCAGGGTGATAATTTATCAATTTTCACCATTTTGCCAATGAAAGCTGAGGCTCCAAGAAGTCAAGTCACTTGCCCAGGTGACTCACACTACCAGCAAGTGGCACCAAATGCTGTGTCTTTTTTTTTGTTTTTTGTGAGGCAGATTTCATTCAGTGGCATGATCAACCTTCTGAGCTCAAGTGATTCTCCCGCCTCAGCCGCCTGAGTAGCTGGGACTACAGGTGTGTGCCACTATGCCCGGCTAGTTTTTTATTTTTATTTTGTACATAAAAGGTCTTGCTATTTTGCCGATGCTGGTCTCAAACCCCTAGCCTCAAGTGATCCGCTCATCATGGTCTCCCAAAGTGCTGGGATTATAGGTGTAAGCCACCTTGCCTGGCTTGTGTGCTTAACTATATAAATATTAAGAATACTGACCTGGAAAAGTCTTTTTCTGCCAAAAGGGAACACAGGTAGCTTTCAGCTTATAAAATTTAGTTTGAACATAAGATGGAGGAACATCACTTTAGAAAGGAAAAGATAAAAAAAGTTAGTTTAAACTTTGACCATTTCAATCCTGTACATTTTCATAAGGTGAGTATACTGTATAGATATAAGCAACTCTCTTACGCCAAGTATGAAATCATCATGTCCATAAATGCATTTAAAAAATAGGACACATATGGCAAGCTAGTGCTCATGTGGTTAAAAAAA